TTTAGTTATTCATAATAAATATTTAATGTTTGAAAAAAATTGTGAGTTATTCATGTCAGGTATCTTTTTATATTTTATTTAAACGTTTATGTGAGGTATTTTTATTTTTATTTTAGGTAAACGTTTATGTCAGGTTTTTTTAGGTAAACATTTATTTGATGGTTGTAAAGTCGCTATAGGTTATATTATCTTAATTAATTTATTTAATCAATAATTTTATTTTGTTTCTAAATTATTTAATTTAATTGTATGTAATTTATTTATATTTCTATTTTATTTTAAGGTTGTTAGTGTTATATTTTGATTTATTTATATCACTTTATTTATGTTTTTTTATGTTTTAAAAATAATATTAACATAATATTTAAAAGATAATTATTAATATTTTATAATTTTAAAGAAATTTTGTTGAAATAATTTAGTTTATAAAATTATATTTCCTAAAAAAATGGTAAATAATTTTATGAAAATAAATCTTATAATTTGTCCCATATAAATTTTATTATTTAAAATAAATTATAAAAAAAATTGGTAATAAAATCGCTATAGATTATGTCATCTTAATTTATTTAATTAATCAATAATTTTATTTTTTTTAAAATTATTTAATTTCATTGTATGTAATTTATTTATATTTCTGTTTTATTTTAAGGTTGTTAGTGTTATATTTGATTTCTTGATATCACTTTATTTATATTTTTTAATTATTTTATGTTTTAATAAATCGTGTTAATGTAATATTTACAAAATAATTATTTATATTTTATAATTTTAAATGTTTTTTTTAAAATGCTTTATTGTTTAAAATTAGTTTTCCTAAAACAAATTGGTATATAATTTTATGAAAATAAAACTTTTAATTTATTTTAATTAAATTTTATTATTTAAAATAATATCTAAAAAAATTGGTTATAAAGTCGATATAAGTTATACGATCTTAATTCATTTAATTAATTAGTAGTTATATTTTGTTTTATTATTATTTAAATTAATTTTGTGTAATTTATTTCTATTTCTATTTTATTTTCAAATTGTTGGTGATTTTTTTGGTTTCTTCATATCAGGTAACATATGCCTGTTTTTAATTATTTTATGTAGTTATTTAGATGTTAATGTTTTC